TTTGACAAAATATATGACAATGCCTTTTGAAACAGGCCATGTCACAATAGGCTAGAGCAACTACTGTTTCTTTTTTGAGACCCCTTGAACTGATGGTGAAATCCCTAAAGGGCTTGCAATCCTTTTTTTTTTTTTTTTTTTAGCTGAGCCATCCTGCCACCTGTTGGCAGCTCGGCAGCAGCTCAGCTTGGACTGGGAATCAAGCTGGTGACCCTGTTGCTCAGAGATCGCACTCTTGAATGAGCTCTTAACCAATGAGGCACTCGGCCGGCCCTAAGTCCCTCTTAAGGCACCAACGCCCAAAGTGCTGAACTGGAATTTAGGAAACTTGGAATTGAGTCTTGCTCTTTCACTAACTAGCTAAGGGATTTAATCTTGTGCTTCAGTGTCATTATCTGTGTGACCCTGGGCAAGTCATGTGACCTTTTTTGTGCCTCAGCTTCCTCATCTGTAAAAAGGGTAATAAAAGTGCCTATCTCTTAGCATTGTTGTAAGGAGTCAATGAGATTTATGATTATAATGGGCCTAGAACAGTACTGGTTTCTTGCTAAGAATATTGTGTTTTCTATAATAATATAATATTAATAGTAAACTGTTTTGTTATAATTCCTATATTATCTCACCTTACAAAGCTATGAGGAGAACAAAATGACATAATAAATGTATTAGTTTGTTATTGCTGCAGAGCAAATTACCGTACATTTAACATCTTAAAACAATTGTTATCTCATAATTTCTATAGGTCAGAAGTTCAGGTATGGCTTAATTGAATTCTCTGCTCATGGCCTCAAGAGGCTGAAATCAAGGTGTTAGCTAAGCTGTATTCTTTCTGGAGCTCAGAACCCCCTTACAAGCTCATGTTGCTGTTGGAAGAATTAATTTCCTATGGTTGTAGGACTGAGGTCTCCATTTCTTGCTTGATGTCAGTGAGGGGCTGTTCTCAGCAACTAGAGACTGCCTGCTGTTCTCTGCCAGGGGTCCTTTCCACAAGATGGCATTTGCTTTCTTCCAGGCCAGGTAGAGCATGTCTCTCTGGCTTCTGACCCCATTCAATCAGCTAAAGAAAACTCTGCTTATAATGGGTTTTCTTAGGCCTGGTCAGGTTAGGCCACCCTTGAACCAAATACTGCAATATGATCATGCTCACAGGTTGCAAGTAACCCTCACTCACGGAGAGTAGATCATATGAGGGGAGGGTCTTGGGGGCTCATCTTAGACTTCTGCCTTCCACAAATGGGAATATGAAGTTAAAAGTAAAAATGATATACAGATATGAAGTGCACATTATTGTATGATTTATCAGTCACTGTCATGATCATGACATCAAATTTTTTAATTTTAATTTTATTTTTTTAATTACCATTGACATTCAATATTATTCAAAAAATTTCTAACCTCATACAACACTATTCCACTTGTTTTCAATGGTTTAAATTAGCTGTAAAGGGTATTCCAATTCATCTAATTATGATGTCATTCAGAGCTTAGCATTTGCTTCATAACTCCTTGAATTCCTGTTCTCTTTGTGTGGGGTATTTACTTTCCAAATTTCCTCCTTTGACCCTGAGTCACTGAATCTTGGCACTCCCCAAGGACAAAATTCTATGAAGAAATATGTTTCTTTTGGATTCTCCAGTCCATAAAATGCTCAACCATTATTACCCTTAAGTGTATGTACTAACCCTGAAATTCCCTATGGACTGCTTGTACTCAACTCTAAAACAAATTAAGGACAAGGTAACTTTTCCCAATGCTTTACTGGTGTTTAACCTTGGAACTAAAAAGGCAGACTAAGAGATACTTATTCACAGGGAGTAGGGATGAGCTTATGATGATCCACATGGCTATGGCTTTGTCATTTGACCAGTGCTCTCAAGGGCTTCATATATTGTAAAAAGTTCAATCAATAGGTAATAAAATATAACATAAATAGAAAATAAATATAAATATAAAATATAACAAAGAAATGATGTAGGAAAGGTTGAAAGTGATCACATCTTCCATTGAAATGGAATGGAGACTTTAAGCCACAAATCCAAACAAGAAACTCCTGGTACTTTGTTAATTAATACAGGGACAAATTCCATATGCACACAGATTAGTAAAACTTCTGTACATGGAATAAAGTAGTACAGTATTCTATAAAAAATACAGTCTACAAGTTATGTCTGTGTTCAGAACTATCTCTGCCACTGTTCACGATATAATCAAAGATGAGTTACTCTTTCTCACCGAGACAGTTTCTGCATCTTTAACATGGAGAATACTGTCTACAACAGAAGATGTCCTGAGGAGTAAGTAAAATAGCCTAAGCTAAGTTCTTAGGACAACATCTGGTATACAGTGAGCATTTAGTAAGTGATGATTATTGCTATTATTATTTATTTTAATTATGTTAACTTGTGACCCAGTGTCTCCATGGTATTAAGTGTTCATAAAATATTACTATCATCACCCTTCCAATACTTGTTTGTTGAGTTGAATTGGATCTGTCAAGAAGAGTATTTTGGATATCACCAATCTGAAATACGTAAAGAGGTTATCATTTGTCTAATTTTATACAATTTTCTTCCTCCTTCCCTTCCTCCCTGTCTTCCTTTCTTTCTTCCTTCCATCCTTCCTTCTTTTTTGTCTTTCCTTCTTCTCTCTCTCTCTCTCTTCCTTCCTTCTGTTTCTCTATCTTTTTTTCCCAAGCAGATATTATTTTAAATTTCCGAACAACCTATGTCAGCAAGTCTGGCCAAGTTATCTTTGAAGCAAGATCAATTTGCATCCACTATGTCACAACCTGGTTCATCATTGATTTAATCGCTGCCCTGCCTTTTGATCTCCTGTATGCTTTCAACGTCACAGTGGTGAGTAAACAAAAGAGTTCCCTTCCACATGACCTTGAAGGTTGGTTTTACCCCATGTTTAATTTTTATAAGTTCAGGTTTTAAATGTTTGTGGTAAATTGGCATCCAGGATTTTATGCCCTTTTTAATAAGGATGCCAAGGTGCCCAATGACATACATGCCAGCTTCTCCACTTGAGGAAACTATTTCCTTTTGAAATTTGCATTACCTGAGTCTAGTTATTTACATACCTAGAACCAGGATATACAGGAGGCCTAAATTTATTATCAATACTGACACACTAATCAAATCCTTTGATAAGGAAACCATCTATAGGATTAGAAGCATAACTTTATATTACTTAGGCCTCGAGAATTTGGTGGAAAGTTTGAAGAGTTCTTCTACCTTTCTGATCTTTACTCTCTAGCTCTTGAGTATTTCATTATTCATTGGCAAAACAAAGAGAAGACCAATCAAGATAGAGAAAAATGCTGAAATTAAAATAAGAGAATTTAACAACTTCTTAGAAATCCTTATAAAAATGTTGGATGGGGAAGAAACTTAAATGACACAATGACCAACATACACTTGAGAGTTCTCTTGAATTATTATTCTATTTTTTTCATCTAAAGTGTTTAGCTTCAAGTCTCTTCATAGGATGAAAATATTCCCACTTACAGTAATAGAAATTTTACTCTTTAATGATTGATATTCTTGAAAGCATTAAGTGCTCCCTTATAAACAGAGAGAGTTTAAGGAAGGTATAATAGCAATTGGGGACCAGTAATGCAATTTGTTCTTAGAGTGACCAATTTTAACAGGAAAAATTTACTAAACATTAGTTGCAATGAAACATGTTTCTTACATGGTTGACAACCTCTTATATAAATCATATTCTACATCAAGAATTTAAAAGCATAGTTTTTAATATTAAACAAAGTGATCAATATTTTAAAAAGAGTCAATATCATCTTCAGAATGAAGCTGGAACTGTAATCCTTACTAGTCACTACATCTTTGTACATTTAATTGCCTCTACAATAGTATTTTCTTCTTTTTCTTTTTTTAAGTTGGGAAGGTGATGGTGTCAATATCCTTAAGAGGTTTATAACCCAACCAAAAGGAAAGCTCTGGGGGGGAAATTTAGTATGTGATATCAATTGGTGCTACATTGAATTGTTATTCAGGCTTCTTAAAGTGCTTTTTAAGATTGAATTTGACTAGATAAGTGTACCATAATGAAAGTATAATGACTTAAAACAGGCTTTTGCAAGACTGAAAAAAAAAGTATATGTCACAAAATGCTAAGAAAAATTTTCCAAATTCTGAAGAACTGTTAAATATTGATAAATGGTGTTTAATAGGCTGCTCTAAATTATCTTTCTTCTTTGCTAGTAAATACTAATAATATTTTTTGTATTCCATTCCTCTTTAGACACTAGAATTCTAAACATATATCATAGAATTCTAAATATATATTATATAATTATATTATAAAATTTAAAAATATAAGATTTTTATATATCATTAACATCCCGATTGCCTAAAATTAAGACAAATAAAGGATTTTTTGAAAATTTTAATGATCCTATTTTGATGAATTTTAAATACTTGTACTCTCACTGCACTCCTGCCCCCTTTCTTCATTCTGACTTGTGAAATCTGGCACAAATGCTTTATAAAGAATGCAAGTTGTAAATTAACATCTATGTCAAAGAGAAAGAAAAATTGGAAAGAAGGAACCTTTCTCTCTTATTAGTGATAATATATTTTTAAAGATTTTTATTGGGGAATTGGGGGGATGGGAACAGCGCTGGGGAAATGGGGGAAGGGGAACAGACAAGTTGCTGTCATTTTGTTCTTCAGTCTAGTTGTGGAGGACGTTGCTTCACTGGCCCAAGTTGGCACCATCATTGCGCTCTTCCTGGGCGAGGGAGATCAGTCGCCAGCTTCTGGACGGCCACTCACGGCAGCTGCTGGCTTCTGGCTATCCACTACCACATGGCACAGGGGCTGCAGCCTACGCCGTCGCCGGCGACTCCCGGCACCCAGCTCCAGGTTGAGCTGTTGTTCAGCATCTTAGCTGTAGAGGGCAGTGTCACTGGCCCTCATATGTGGGATCCGAACCGGGGCCCTATGGCGTCCCAAGCCAGTTCTTACCCATCGCACCATTCGGCCGGCCCCTAGTGATAATATTTTTACTTTTCACAAAAGTAAGCGTATGATCATTACCTAATTAATACATAAATTTGTTATTCCCCAAAATAAATTAGTCAGAATAAAATAGTCTATTTGAACAGAAAAGCTTGTTCAATATATTATATTTACTTCTCAAGAAACATAAGTTATGAGGAATAATTTATAAGTTAGGCTATTGTCATCCTGCACAGAACTCACAAAAAAGAAAGGAAGAAACAAATAAATAAACAAAGGTGTTATCTTCCAGATCCATAATGTGTTCAGTTAGTGCATCTCCATAGATGACATTGAAAAATACATTACAACCATCAAAAATGTATTGCACTCTTTAGCTTTGGCTCTGCCTACAATTGCTGATGGCAAATGTCTTTTATATAGCGCACACATTTATTTATTAAAACCTACTATGTGTAAGTCCTTATGAAAGGCTCACTATGAGAGATAAAATTATGAATGAGACATAGTAAGTGTGATAGAGTGAAAAAAGGCAAGAGTTCAAATCCTACTTTATCACATCATCTGAGTGACTTCTTTGGGGAAGTTATCAAAATAGGTCTAACATAAGCATTAACATTCCTACTGGGTTTCTGAGCAGCCTAAGTAGGCAGCATTTCTCTAAAATACCTTGCTAAGTATCTAATACATGGGAAGACCTCAGTACATGTTAATTAGCTTGCATCTCTCTCTCTCTCTCTCTCTCTCTCTCTCTCTCTCTCTCTCTCTCTTTCTTGCTTTCCTAGTTGATAGCCAGGAGGTGGTCATGTCCAGGGAAACTGCCATTTCATAAGGTCTTTTGATGAATGCATTGCTGTCATGCACCTGTCTACAAGTAGTTTATAATTTTTATCAGTGTAAAATTCAGTACAGCATCCCAAAACTAATACTTTCTTTGTTTCTGGTGATGTATCATCATGAAACTCAAATATGTCCCTTTCTTCTGTCATTCATCAAGAGCAAAAATTTACATATATAGCAGGAAGTTGCTGGCTCTGATGGAAATAAGTGTATAAATATTTTTTTTAAATGCCAGCAAAATCATGAGGGCTGCCTCGTCCTGGACACACAGGCTCATGTCCCTTGTCTTTAAAAATGACTGTTGTCCTCATGTAAGGGCAACTCCACATTCTTCCTCAAATATCCCCTTTCAGATCAGAAAAAAATGGGAGATTGCCTACATCAATATTATGTGTTCAGACGGTGTCTTAGTCTGCTCGGACTGCTATCACAAACTGTGTGGCTTAAACAACAGAAATGTATTTCTCATTGTTTTGAAGGCTAATAAGTCCAAGATCAATCAAGGTCCCAGTCAATTTGGTTCTTGGTGAGGACTCTCTTTCTGGTCTGTAGACAGCTGTAGCTTCTCGCTGTGTCCTCATGTGGTGAGGGAAAGAAGAGGGGAGGGGAGGGGAGGGGAGGGGAGGGGAGGGGAGGAGAGGAGAGGAGAGGAGAGGAAAGGAGAGGAGAAAGCATGACAGAGTGCTCGCTGGTCTCTTCTAAGGGCACTATTCCCATGGTGAGAACCCCATCCTCATGACCTCATTTAAACCAAATTGCCTCCCAAATGCCCCATCTCCAATACCATCACATTGAGAGTTAAGACTCCAATGCACGAAATTTGGAGAAACACAATTCAACCCATAGGAAATAGCTTCCTCCATTTGGGACCTCTGTGCCAGGTTTCATTTTACTTACAAAATTGTCATCTATCAAATGTGTCTACCTGTAAAGTAATTTCCACTCCTAGTAATTCCTCTAAGCTACAAAGTAGAAAATTCAAAATCCTAGCATATAATCATCTACTTAACAATCAGCTGGAAAAGTGATAGGTGAGAGCTTGGCTGTGAAGGAAAAGAAAGTAAACCAACACAGAAAAATGACAAAAAGAAATAAAGAGCAGAGCCTGCTAGCAAGTTTCTCAGTTCACCTTATGATATTACTGTTTCTCAGTACAGAATTCACGAGATTACAACTGAAAACACTTATCAAGTATCTATTATTACACTAATTTTGAAGTGTTTGTATCTTAATAATCTATCCACTCACTCATACACTTAAATTTCTCAAAGAATTTCTCAAACTCTGTTTGCATATTAGTTAATATTTTACTTTCATTTCCTATTTTAGAAGGCTCTCTGAGGCTCTAGGAAGGTGTGAAACGATTGTATATTAGAGTCCCACATATGTCATTAACAGTGACATTATCAATTCTGGTGGACACCAATAATGTACATTTTTCAGGTGGGCCCTAAAGTCGGGAAAATAACCCCAAGTTACAAGTCTATTGTTTTAGTGCATGCAAAGGCAGGACCCAGGAGATTTTTTAAAAATTTTTGTTCCGTTTGATTTTGGTTCCCTAAATCCATTTGAGAGAAAACTCGAAATGTGCATTGGGCAAATGCTTTCTTTATTGATAATGTTAGAAGGAAGATGGCGTAGCGCCTGCGGTAGGAGGTGCTACTAGTACTGGTAAGCAGGACTTACTCAAGTTTTATAGTTCTAACTATTTTAAAACATTGTGTTATTTGCATTACCACTTTGCAGGTTTTACTTCAGCCTATATGAATTATTGTCATAAAGAATTCCCTTACACAGAAAAGGGAAAGTGGGATTGAAAGAAAATATGTGTGAGGGGTGGAGACATCTTATATTTGATCCAATACCATAATGAGTTTCCATTGTGTATCAGAACATATACAATTGTATTCAATCAGACAGGTAGAGAAAAAGAGATAAATCTTAATTAAGGAAGATAAGTATTTACTCAAAGGAATTAGATTGCTTTATCCTTCTTTATCCTATCACCTCCTGATCTATGTCAACAAATGGCATAGAAATGGTCATACAAATGACCATGGCGTTGGGATCATGATTATATTTAATTTTGAGAACTTTCCAGAATGGCTGTAAGTTAAAGTAACTGCCATGGCACTGAAGTGCCCCCATGAATCAAGCTGTGCTGCTCTGTCTCCCCCCACAGGTGTCTCTCGTGCACCTGCTGAAGACTGTGCGGCTACTGCGTCTTTTGCGTCTCCTGCAGAAGCTGGACCGTTATTCCCAACATAGCACCATCGTCCTGACCCTGCTCATGTCCATGTTTGCGCTCCTTGCACACTGGATGGCGTGTATCTGGTATGTCATTGGAAAAATGGAGAGGGAAGACAACAGCCTTCTGAAGTGGGAAGTTGGTAAGGGCTTAACATTTGTCACATTTTCCATTTTTAAGTGAAAAGGAAGATTGTCTAGAATTTGGAGGAGGTGAAAGATGCGTCTATAAATACATGTCCTCTGACTGTCAATTTCTCACATCTTTTTTTGTGTTGGGGAGGGGGGCGGTGTCCATGCGATGATTTCTTTTAAGGAAGTTTTCTAGAAGAGCCTGGTATTTTTTTTTCAAAGAGTAATGGATTAAGTTTTCAGTGGGTTTACTGTTTAAAATGACCAGCCCAGCTGTAGAAGTGTTTAGATAAGTAATGTGTGATTTTATCCTGACATATCCAATGCAGGACTAGTAAGTGGAAATCACTGGACAACTGGCCAATGGCCAATCATTACAATATTTTAAATCATAAGAAAATGATCACTTGTATTTTAGGTGACAAGTTAATAGAAAAAAAATATCCCTACCATTTTTTTCCCTTTACAAAGAAGAGAGAGAGTGCTATCATAATGACAAACTTTCCACGTTTAGTTTACTTTGAGAATTTGTGGTATTTATTCTGGATAAATATAATTTGTAAACACTGGGTATTTACAAATATAATTTGTAAAAGTTTGTGTCCCCAGAATACATGGTAACATAAGGGAGATTTTCCAAGTGTTACATAATTCAGCATAACTGAATCTGAAATATTGGTACATGAACACATTTTTTAACTTCTGTCAACCACCAGAACTTTATCAAAAATGAAAATTCTGAAGGCCATAACCCTGTATCCTAAAATGCCTGCATTCTTCTCACAATCATTCCCTTTAGAGAATTGTCATAGTACCTGATGTAGGATTTTTCTCTTAATCTGACATTTAATCAAAAGAATCTGTTTTTTTGGTTGGCTAGAAAATTTTTTTACTTACCTTCTCCTCCCAAAGTCATTGTTGAACTTTTGAAAGAAGCTCAGACCTCTGCAAAGGGAGAAAGCCACGAGAGAGTCCCGAGAGAAAGAAATGGTCTGACTTTTCATAGCAGCACTTAGTGGCAGAATGCATTTGGGAACATCTCTAGGCTGGCTCGCATAAATGCCCCTCTCACCACGGGGCGTATACAAAGCTTTCAAAGGGCATCTTTGAGGAATGAGATGGAGACCTTAAGAAAGCAGTCTCACGGGAGTGAAGCTCCTGTCTAGGTTCTTAAAAAAAATGCTCCTACACGTCTTAATTTTGTCGCTGAGCTACACAAAGTAACTGATGTGTTCTGATAATTTTCATCTCAGAATTGTCCTCTTATCTTCCTTATCAAAGCACTTTTTCTATGCCTTGCTGTGGACCTCAATCCTCAGAAACGAAGTAAATGTGGAAATAAAATGACAGAGTAGAAGCAAAAATATCCTACATAAGGAGAATATGAGATGAGGGAGAGGGAGAGAATGAGGGAGAGGGAGAAGGAGAGAGGTGAGGGGAAAGAGAAGAGTTGAATAAAAGGAGGATCAAAGTCTGGATTGTACTTAGATGAAAACATTTTCCATCCTTCAGTATTGTTTCCCTTTCTATAACTTTGTCCAAAAATCTTCTCCATCACATACTCTAGTGTTGTCCTAATGGTGTTCCGTGAATTATAGCATCAGATCTCTGCCATTTGTTTTGAATCCATATTAAAATTCTGACTTGTGGTCAGTCACCTGATTCCTTTTTGGACCTGACCTAATTTCCTTGGGGCCCCAGACCTATACACTCATATTAATTTGTAAGGCTTGTCTAGTCTGAGAGTCTCCAGATGGGGAAATTCAGCTTATTCCCGCTCTCAAATTTAGTTATATGAGGAAAGCTTTTTGTTTCATTTCCGAGATGCCAGTCCTGCTGCAGATGTATGAACTAGATGTTGTTTTTCCTCCCCCAAACATGCAGAGGTTTTTTAATTTTCAAGATAAAGAAGCCCACCACCTGAACTGCTTCTGCATTGCCCTCTCCTGCTCCTACTCTTAGTTCTGGTATTATGGCTCAGTGTTATGAGTGGGAGTTTGTAAGCTGGAAAGTCAACCCACAAAGGGAGCATTCACATAAGACAATGTTGAGAACCCTGGGTTGGAGGCAACAGATCTTTCCTATCGTCACGGCTCCACCAAGTGTGACCTTTGCAGTAATTTTGTTCACCAGTCTGGGCCTCCATTTCCTCATCTACAGCGTGAGAAAACTCACTATATAACTTGAAAGTCTATTTCAGGTTCCATGATTTATGACTTTAATAGAAGAGCACACCTAGTGTTGTGTGCTTAGTAGCTCTGTCTAGTTTTTATCATAGCTGAGGGCCCACAAAAGCCATCCAGGGAAACCATCCAATGTCAAGTTTGTGGAAAAGGGATGTGTCATAAAATACATCCTGTGATCACAGCATGTCAAGGAATTAATATGTTTTACTCAGTTATAAAAATAATTGAGCATTTGTTCTAAGAGAATTAGATTTCCTGTCCAAACACCTCTCAGGATATAATCAGGAAGGTAGCATGCTAATTATATCTATCAATATTGAGTTTATAGGCTTGGCTAGAAGGACTTTCCCTTCTCCTCAAATTACTTGCATTGTTTGTTCATTTAAAACATTATCCAGCAGAGGTTTGGACACAAATTAAGTAATTATGACCTTCCCTACCTAATTTTATAATGAGGCAGCTGAGAATCTAGGCTAATTTAGTTTTTACTATGTAATTTGTCCACTAAGATGTTTTATCTTTTTTTGGTTCAGCTACCATGAATCAAAAAATTCATCACAGAAATAAAATTTGATTAGAGAACACATTGTTCTTTATGTCATGACTAACATTAGATGTATTGAATAAATTTACCTTCCCAAGGGATAAAAGGGAACTTCTTTTCTAATAATTTTTAATTGTCTTGAAATTATTTCTCTTCTCCTTTTTGTCCTGAGTGGGCTTACTACTTACAGCTAGAGAGAGTTCCAGTATTTTGCATCAGACCAAATCAAAGTTAATCTTTAAAAAACATTATAGTGTCTCTTCCCTATAAGATATCTATTTTTAGAAGGAAGAATAATACTTATAGACTATGGCAGAGGCTGGTAATGAACTAATTTACCTAGTGTTAGATTTTACTTCATATTTTTATGTGTATCCATACCATATATTTTAAGGAGCTTGAGGTATGACTTATTGTTTCATGGAATTTTACCCATAAGCCTGGGACCTTAGTCCAACTCTTTGGTTTTATGGTGAAAAACCCAGCTCTTGGTTATATGAGCTCTGCGGCATCCCAACGGGCACATGGCAAAAGCGTTTAAAAAAAAATTGTTGAGTTAATCAGTGTTCAAGGTCATTCAATTACTAAATGACAATCATGGGACAAGAACCTCGATTCCCTAACTGTGTAGAATTTCTTCTAATAATTTTGAATATTATGAGGTTATAGGGAATGGCTGCTTAGTAAATTCTTCCTGGCAAGAAGACTGAGAGAAGAACAAATAGGGTTGTCACTTAAGATTTGGTCATTCATTCAAAAAATTTGAATGCTGCATGCTGGGTCCTATATTAGGCACTGGAGATACCAAAACAAATAACATAATAGTGTCATGGAACTTAAAGTTCAGTAGGAAAAACACAAATAATTCAATAAGATATATGACAGCATGATATATTCTATAACAGAAACATGTATAGAGGAGTGGCCACCAAATATAGTAACTAGAATGTCAGCAAAGGATTTTCCCAGATAAGCTGAGTTTTAAAGAATGAATAGTTCTTGTTTCTACAGATGCTGAGGAATGGGCATGTGTGACAGCAGCGACATGACTACATGAAGCAGTTCCCTAGAACCAGCATGAAGGGGGTCTTGGGGGAGGGGGTGGTAGTAAGCTGATGAGGCTAAAGAGGAGGCAGTCACAGACCAGATCTTTAAAGACCATTCCTGTTAATTTTAGAGTTTGGACTTCATCCTAAGGCTACAAGCGAGGCATAAATGTCTTTCTTGAGCAGTGATCCTTTGAATATAGAACACCAGGAAATAGGGGAAGATGTTTCACTCTGCTTCATTTTCAGTATCTGTAAAGTGTCAATAATACTATTGCCTACCACACTGGAGCCGCCAGTATTAAATTAGGCAAACTATGTGAAGCATTTAACTCTGGGCCTGGAACCTAGTAACTGTTCAATAAATATTCTAACCAGCTATGATAACCAGGGTTTCTTGATTAAAGGATACATGCACAGCTAGAAAATACTGAAGGTAAATATATATATATATATAAAAGAGCTTCCAAATTTGTTTACACTTCAGACCAAACACCCCAAACAATAAAAGGTTCAATTGTCATGTTAAGTTTAAGAAATTCAGCCACTTCATCCCCATTCTGAAGGACTAACAAGGTAGGTTGGCATAGTGTGAGCTCAGAGAAATCTCAAGAAAACTGATTAAACTTTAACCAAAATGTTACATAAATTTATTTTACTACATAACCCTTCCTTTTTTGTAATACATGTTATTAATATTCTGTTAACATCCTGTGTATCTGGAGTTTAAAAATAAAACACACACACACACACACACACACACACACACACACACACACACACACCTGAGGGAAAAAAGTTACTAAACTCAGTATCATAGTAAGAAGGATAATAATCATTTCTATCTTTTAAAAAATATAGGATATCACATGTATCATCTCACAGTAAATCTACAGCAACAGGTAAAGAGATTATCCTCATCTATCAAATTGAAATAATAAGAAAACCTCATTTGGTGAGCTTCAGTAAGCTAATGTATATGAAAGCAGTTTGAAAACTGAAAAGTGCTATAGAATTATGACATGTTATTGTTGTGTTATAATAAATAACACATACAACCATACACACATGTGAATATGCATATGTATGTGTGTATGTATGTATGTATGTATGTATGTATATGTAAGTCTCTCTCTCTCTCTCTCTCTCTCTCTCTCTCTCTCTCTCCCCCTCTCCCTCTATCCAGAGAGACATTATGTACATACTCTGTACGACAAACTCCTGTCTTTGTGTTC